TTTTGGTGGCCATTTTAAATTTCAAGATGGCGGCCACTAAGCGGATTATTTTTTGGGGTCACACATAGGGTTTTTAATTTATTTTCGCGGGCTGCACTTTGCCCACCTGTGGTATATGTATACACGAATAAAACATTTTGTATTCGACTGTCTATAGGGCGTTTTTGCATCATATTGTATAATAAACAAGTAGATCAAAAACATTATTGATAAAAATCCAATATTTTGGTGGCCATTTTAAATTTCAAGGTATCATAGTATCACTGGGGGAAGTTTCATGCTTTCTTCCAAAAGTGCACGATTTTTCTCCTTAGCCGCTCTACTAATACAAAGTACAAACAAGATACAAATAAACATGTTACAACAAACATGTTATTACTTCAATGCACAATACCTCAGTTTAAGTTTCTAAGTATCTATTGTTTTCTAACACATGCAGGACAAAATGGAAGTATTTCCATAAATTCTAGCCCTGAAACCTAGACTCAGAAATACCGGGATGGTGTCCGGCGAGGGATTGTTTAACTATTAGTTAAGTGTTTCTTGCTTGTGCTTTGTATCGCACTGCTACAAACACATTGTTACCAAAGTTTACAATACCGCAGTTCAATTGTGTATGCAATATATAAAAAATCATATAGATACTTGATTTACAATGAATGCATAATCCATATGGTGGACACATTTGTTGTAATAGTAGAAGAAGCAATGTAAAATTCAAAACTGGTATCGCTTTATTGACTTAACTATAGTATAATGCTGTTACATCTGTAACATAGAAGAAACTGCTGTCAAAAGTAAATACATTTTATAATGTTAGTCAATAAAGTGCTACCAGGTTCTAATGATTACATATTTTCAACAATCTGATTGAAATACACCTTGACGCTGGAGTATTTATCATGTATAGACAATTCATGTTCTGTAGTTTAATCCGATCTAATAAATATTTGTTACTGAGTTTGTATTATGGTATTGTTGTATTTCATCTGTATAGGATAAATTTGCTGTCATTGGTATTTTTGTTACCCCCAATGTATAATAGTTCCTATAAAAAAAAAATTCATTCGTGTCTCTCTTCACATGATTAAATGTATTTGGGCGTGGCCTTTAATGTCACTGTTTAAGGTCACGTACAGGTAAAAGTTGCTGTCACCTGTGACATTATTGCAAGTATCTACCTGGGAGTAATATCCAAT